AGGGGGCGAGTCGGTCAGGGGGCGAGTCGGCCAGGGGGCGAGTTGACCTACAATCCCTCTAGGCAAAAAAAAAAATAGTTCAAGCCGGTTCAAACTCACACACAAGTGGTTCCAAACCTTCCACCTTGACCACTTGGCCACAAGTGTTCAGCAATCCAGGTAATTTTAAAATATATAAACTGTGGTGATGATCAGCTACCTCATCACACTTGTGCAGTTCAGTGCCGTAACGATAGAAAATGAGAATTGTGTAAGGACTGCCGTAACGATAGCCACTTCATTTGACGTAAAACAATAATGACACTTTTCAGCTAGAATAGTGGAAGTCAGAGAACTGTAAAAACATGGGACTCGTAATGGACTTGGAGGCCGTGATTGCCCACCGGTCTTTTAAACTGTTCCCCTTCCCAACTAACATAAAAGATTCTGCTGCATGCCAAAGATGGAACAAACTACATGTAATCCAAAGGAGTGACCCCAAGATGCAGAAAAACAGGGTAAATAAGAAGCATGTCAGACTTTGCTCGAGACACTTCCCAGAGGGAGGTGCAACCCAGCTTGACATATGGGCTACTTGCAGCAGCGGAAAGTTGCAGCAAAATGTGCACCTCCCACCCGTCATCAACTGTTGCACATTTAAAAACAACAAAAGATGTCTGTGGCAAATTGATGAAGAGCCAGTTGAAGAGGACATGGTGGCACCATATGACCATGACCACCGATACACCTATAGATATGACTGCCGAGAAAGATGTTCAACTCTACAAATAACAGATTTACAGCATAGGGCTACCGGGTACATGTAGGGTGCATGAGCTAGAACAGCAAGTCATCTCACTCAAAACACAGGAAAAGCAGCTAAAATCTACGCTCAGGGGAAAACCCCCCAGATTTTTCGTGCTACCAATTTAAAGTGTGACAGTGACATGAAACATTGCATGTGTACTGGCCTGAGATCAGTGGAGGCATTTAATGATAGAGCCCCAAGCAAAGAAAATGTGTTACTGAACAAGCTCATCAAAAGCCCCAAGAAGAACATTCAGTAAGTCACCAAAGAAGATGGGGCCCAAGTGTAAGCTGAATTTGAAAGATGAGTTTTTGTTGACACTAATGCGCCTCCCTTGGGATTGACCATTAGTTTTTTGTTATTCCTTTTTGGAATTGAACACAGTTCTTGTTCAGAAATTGTTGCTACATGGATTCGAGTCCTAGCCATTATTCTAAAACCACTAATAGTAGGGCCAACTAGGACAGCAGTACGGGAAACAATGCCAAAGCAGTTTCGGAAAAAAACATAACCTGCGATGCATAACTGACTGCACCAAATTCTTCATTGAGCGCCCTAGGTCACTTGAGTTGCAGGCTGCCACTTGGTCTGATTACAAAAAGCACAATACAATTAACATGCTTGTTGATATGACACCCAATGGACAAATCTCATTCCTCTCGAAGGCATATCGTGGACGGGCCTCTCATGTTTTCATAGTTCGAAACAGTGGATTCTTGTTCTTGATTGAGCCCGGTGACATGCTAATTGCAGACAGGTTTTCCCATTCAAGAAGTTCTAATACTCTGTCATGCGTCCTTGGAGATACCTCCAGCAGCACAGGGAAATCGGCAGATGACCAGAGAAAATGTCCAAAAAACAAAAAGTGTCGCCAACTTGAGAATTCATGTTGAATGTGCTATCAATTGCGTGAAAGACTTCAAAATTGTTAATGGTACATTGCCCATTACTCTTACACCTTCTACTGATGACATGTTATCAATTTGTACAGCTCTGGTGAACTTACAGCCTGATTTGCTCAGGTAATAAGGTTTAATCCTGCTGTATCCATTTCTACAGGGACAAGCATTCAGTTGCAGTCATTTATGTATCAGAACAGTGCAGTTATTTATGAGTAATACTAAAATGCATGCACCTGTGTTTAATTCTTAGTTAACTCCATGGCTGTAGACACTAGCTGACTTAAACTTACAATTAAAAGTTACCCTGTTTTACTTTTGTTTCATTGTTATCTTCACAAAGACAATATACATTGTACACTGAAAAATTGTTAAATCTTTCTTTAAATTGACCTGTTTAAAAGGTCATTTATTTAATAACAAGAACCTCCACACTGTACCTACATGTACATGTATGTTTAAAGGCGGTTTGGCATTGGGAAAAACCAGCATTGAGAGACTTTCCTCTTGCAAAAGGACATAAATCGAAAGTTTTCAGTCATACAGACACTGGCTATCAGAGCTGTATAGTTTAGCAAGGTTTTAGAGAATTCAATTTGCATGTGCAAAGATAAATATTTTAGTTCACCATGCCATTTAACTTTCAAGGGTTTATTTGCGAAAAAGAAGATGTGTTAAGAGCCGCAGTGAGTTTAATACAAATAATTTTTAACACCACATTCCCATCCAGAAATATAGATGTCTAAATTTACACTGGAAAATCGTGACAGCATAAGAAACCATTACCCCCTCCCCGAAAAAAAATNCGTGTGGGTTGATTGGACATAGATTGGGCCCAAGACAAAATTCAACAGGCATTTCTCTTTCCCCAGGATTACAGGCAGTCCCGGTATGTAGGGATGGTCTAAAGACACAGACAAAAATTACAAAACCAGTCCCCATCTGGGTTTTGTTTTATGTTTTGACATACCCAGTGGTACCACCCTCTGCAACTGTGGAAGCCTATGCTGTAATCTGACTGGGCTTTGATGTCTTGCTCACTTTTGTATCTTGGAGCATATGGCACACAAATACAGGCAAACTGTCATGGGTTTCTTGACCCTCTTTTGCCTAGTCCTTTTGGATACTGCTTATTTGCAATGTTCCGGAGGTACCGCCTGCAACATTGGGAATGTCCTTTTGTGTAGGTGATGCAGTTACTGTTGCTGTACATGTACTGGCGCTTGGTACATCACATATAGGGAGATTTTGTATCTTGCAGTGGACAAGTTCAGGGGCAATGTATTCTTTAATGAACTGTTCAGCTTCTGCCATCAAAGATGCCCACTTTTCTTGTTTTAGATCTATTTGCTGCAAATGAT